TGCTTGCTTTAGGATTTCATAGGTTTCCGTAGCCGTTTTGGCGAGTCTTTGGCAAAATTTGATTTGTTCATGAAAATCCGCCATTCCGAAATCGCAGGAGGGTCGGTGTAATGCACTACCAAAACGCCCGTTAACTAAGAAACAAATGCTAATTCGATGATGCCGGCTGGCACACTGATTCACTATGAATGTAGGCCGCACCCCCTAGCGGCAGAAGCTCGTACTACATCCGGTTCACTCTCTATTGACACAGTCTGGAAACATTCCGATCGCACCTCGTATAGTAATCCAGATACTACTGCCGTCTTTCGAGTGTAATATGCATCAATATATGGCCTGGGTGGTTGCCAAACCATTAACGCAGAGTTGCCTACTGCACGCGAGTCATCTTTCGTTCCCTTACCTAACTACTGGTGTATGACTGGTTGTGTTAAATTTAGTGAACACGTAATTGAGGTTTCGCTGTCAGGTATTCCGTCACTTGTAAGGGGTGTGGTAGGTAACGTTAGGTGCCTTTATCTATTTTTCTTATGTGTTTTGTGCGTTAATTTATATATCAGCAATGGCAGGTGCGAGTAAAGAAAAAACTGAATCAATAATTCGAAAGAGAATCGGTGGAACAAGTATTTTAAGTGTATTGTATAGTTTTGCGAAGAAAATCGGCACAGTTGCAATGGTGTATTTAATTGGGTATTTCGAGTGGAGTGCTGCATGGTTAATTGGTCCTGTGATACTGTCTGTGATCCGTGATGAATGGAAGAAGGACAAGGAACTGAGAAGAAATATTGCCAAAGCAGCAGCAATGTGTAATGAAAAAGAAGTCATACTAGCCCGAGTTGATGATTTACCGTCATGGGTAAGAATGTCTTCATTGTTGAAGTACCAAGAGGGGTCTAGAAAAGCAAAGGCCATAGAATTGACCCATGGGAACTCCGAAATTAATTGAAATTTCATCTTGCAAGAATAATAATAGCATACTTTTTGTTTCAGGTATTTTTTCCAGACGTAGAAAGAGTAGAATGGCTTAACAGGGTGAGTCATTGAATTTGGTGTAGAATTGTTTGAGATGTTGACAAGTCTCATATCTGAGAAACCACTGGACAAGGAACTGCAAGATGTTATCCATACATAATGATGTTGAGTTCTTGATCATTTTATTTGCATTTAATGGTATAAAGGACATTCTGTTTAAGATGACAAGAAGACCAATTTTTCAGGCAGTATATGAATGTTAACTCTGTGTCTTGGTAAATTATTTTGATTTTGTTATCCTTTACCTTCCATAAACAACATTGTAATAAATCAGTTTTATTCAGATAGGGTTAAGTCATGCATCAGTGCATGGTCACCATATCTGTATGCCCATCTATATCAGCCAGTGAATCTAAGGAAGACAGTTATTAATCATGCAGGAAGACAGTGTAGTGAAATTAGTATTTGTAGTTGGCTTCTGTATCAATTTACAGGCAGTAATAGGGTTGTATACATACTTTACTTACAGTGTTATAACATTTCTGTTTTGACCACAGATCCTGCGTCAGGTCTGGCCAAACGTGAATCATTATGCCAAGACATTAATCAAAGAAACAATTGAACCAAATGTGCGCGTCAGTCTGGAAGCATATAAACTCTATGGATTTCGATTTGAAAGGGTGATCCTTGGCAGTATTGTGAGTATGCTTATGCAGACTCGTTATATCTGATGTTGCATGGGGAAAAAGAATGAAAGGGGTTATTTATTAAATAAGGACAAATTATGCTTATATTAACCTGTTCATAGGAATGTTATGTAAGGAAGCAGTAATCATAATGGAAGTGCTTACAGAAATCCATTTTTTTATTTCAGCCTCTAAGAATTGGAGGTGTCAAAGTATATGACCGCAATGTGTCACGCAATGAGATCATCTTGGACATGGATGTCTTGTAAGTTGAATGAAGAATTTTGAATGTGTAGTTGTTTGTTTTGTTACTTGTTATTTTCTTTTTACAAAGGAATGTTTTATATGTTTGTCCATTTGTCACTTCTTTTGACTCCTGAACCCTTTATTGGATATTTTTGCATATTTGACCCATATTAAAACTTGATGGCAGTGTATGGATTTTTGACATTGTAATTTCTTTATGACTGAAGCAATGTTTCAGGATGAAAATTAACTTTTCTACTTCTCTCTTTTTTAAACTTAAAAGTCTTTATTAACTTTTTTTTAGATATTTATAAAATTGTATATTGTATACTGCACACATCTTGGTGATCAGTGAACCAATTTTGTGACTTTAACAAAATTAAATTCTTCTGGAGTCAGACATTGATTTCATACAATAAATGTTACTGAATCCTTATTAGTTTTACTAAATTTATGGTGTTATGTATAGTAATAATGTATACTTTTGTTGGGTTATTTGGCTTGTATGAACTTTTGGTATGTAGTAGATTGGCAGTTTCACTTTTATTTCTACAATTACTGGTACTTTTCAGCTATGCTGGTGATTGTGATATATCTTTCACAATTGGAGGCATCAAGGGAGGCATCAAAGATTTCCAGGTATATTATTTTATTGTTACAAACTTCCATTTTGTGCTTATTCATCAGTGTTATATGCAGTTTGTAATTCTTTCATTTCTTGTATCTTCTCATGAGAGTTTATTGTGAGATAAAAGTTATCTTCTTGTGTATCATCCTGTACTTTGAAGTCTGTCATTTCTCTCAATACCTTGTGTCTCTGCTCTCTATGTCTATTCTCTCTTGGTCTTCCCACATGTCTTTATGCTTTTTCTTTCTATTCCATTGCCATTCAGACTTCTGTGTCTTTTCTAGAGGGCAAGTTATGATTCACTGTTATCTTTATAATGTTCTCAGCCTTCTCATAGCTTTATTTTCTTTTATTTTCTGTTTTTATTTGGTTGCAGTTGAAACTTCTGTATCTTTTATTGAGACTAATTTATGATTCATTGGTGGCTTTGTTTTGTGTGTTGGAGCTAATTTATAGTATTGAAGGAAATTAGCATTGAATTTGTAAATGAGTTACACAGATTATCAGATTGTATGAACACTCTTGTTCATAGTGATGATTTAATTGCTTGGTAATATGGTTTGTGCATAGTATTTTTCATGTTAATTTTTAGATTCATGGAATGATGCGTGTGGTAATGAAACCTCTTATCACATCAATGCCATTGGTGGGTGGCCTTCAAGTGTTTTTCCTCAACAATCCAACTATTGACTTCAATTTGGTTGGCATGGCAGATCTTTTGGATATGCCAGGTCTAAGGTAGTATAAAATTTAAAATATATTGAAATATAAATTTGATCATTTCATAAATGAAATTTTCATACAGTGCTCTAGCATATTTAGGATTTAATTTTAAGGGGATATTTAAAAAATAATAAATTTGAAATTTTTTGTATATATTCACATATTAATTGTGCTATTAATAAGTTTTGTTCCCTTAAAACAAAATATTTCCACTCTTCCCAAGGGAACACCTTGTTTTGACCTTTTGACTTCCTACAACAATGTCATTAAACAGACACAACAATGCCGAATACGACAATGCCAAATACAACAATGTTAATAAACAGACAACAATGCCAGACGCGACAATGTCAATAAACAGACAACTAAACTGTTTATTGACATTGTTATGCTGCTCTCACGGCAACGCGTCACAATATTAAAATACTAAAATCAGCCACGTGTTAAACACATCTGACAGATTAATTACAGAAATGAACTAATCATGGTGGGTAGAGAAAGCCATGCAATGCCCTCACCATCAAGTGAATCATCTCCTTGCATGTGTTGAGTTATCAGGGAACAAAGATAGTTTGAGGATAATTGGATTGGGAAAATCAACTGCATTATATAGGCAGTGAAATAAAGGTAATGGGGTTAAATGTTTCTTGCTTCCATTAGTGTATTGTGGAAAAGACTCAAGTTATATATGTGCTAAGAAATAAGTACTGTATTTGAAAAGTCCTGTGATTTAGGTGGTCTGGTAGGCAAATGATCATGTGTGCATAACCCCCTGTTCCTGAGTGGACAACATTGGTCTTTAGTACAAAGATACTTCTCACGCATCTTTGTTGCTTTCCGCTGCTGTGCTGTCTTTAATGTTGTACATTTATTTTTTATGTTATTACTGACTATTTTGTAACGTCTGGTGTTTGAAAGTATTACCAGTAAAGTTTACATAACGTTTGAATTAGCATTATGTTTTACAGTTTGCTAGTAGTTCAGCACATGACTTCCCAGCCTGCATATATCACAGGGACTGAACTCTTACATACTGTAGGTTATGAGAGTGATTCTTGAAGCATCTGGAGAATGATGAACATTGCAAAAAATTTAAGTTTGGAATGTGATGACAATGAATCTGATGCACCTTCATATAACATACTGAAGACTTTCAGTGATAGAAAATGGGTTTTGAAGCACAGTCATCTTTAAATATTTTTGCAACAAGTGTTATTTGTTCTTCAACTTTTTCCCAATAGCTTGGAAAATGTTTATCTTTTTCTGTTTCTTAATGGGGAGTTTATGAATGGATTACCCAGCAAACTAATAAATATGCCTCTTATTTTCAGAAATATAAGCTTGATTAATAGTTGGAAGGCACTAATGCTAGGGAAAATAAAGCATGCTATATTGGTGTACTGAGTTATGTAAGTTTCATTGAATCATCAGAAATAGTCATTACTTTCAAGAAGTCACTGGTGTGTGTCTTATTTTAGGACAAGTGATGATGATACTTTTTGATGATTTGAAAAAGCTGCACAGTACTTACGCTTTGTAAATGAAGAGAATATGCCAGCAAAAATTATGAAATTGATGGTATTCTGTACACAGACTGGTCATGAACCCAATGATTATGTTAAGTTTACAATTCCAGCTCTGACTTGGGGATAGATAAAGCAGTTATTAGTTTCAAGGGATATGTCAGTTTGAAACTGTATGTGCTAGGAGAACCAATCAAATGCAAGCTGAAGGTGTGGAAAATAGGTGACAGTGAAATGTTTAATTTACATGGGAAAATGGAAGAGGAGCTGAAAAATTGATTGGCAAAGCTCATAGTTCTTGATGTATGAGTGGACTATTTTAAAAAAATGTTACCATATATATTTTTCCTCATTCACATAACTGATGAAGATTCTTTGGTGGAAACAAACATATGCCTTTGGGATGTCTGAGACCAGCTGTTAGTAGTACAGTTAATGAAATTAGCACATGAAGGAGGCTAGGTGTTAAAACTAAGATCTATATTGCTGGTTTGAAAAGCAGTGACAGTGGATGAAATTTATGCTGTAGTTAGTGTGTAAACTCAATTAATAACATGCGTAAACTATGTTCTCATGTTCTGTAGGTATTTCAGGACTTGCATGCAAACTTTGATTAAAACCATAAAAGAATTAAACCATTGCAGTTTCAGAATGATTTTTTTCTGCATGTGCATTTAAAGCCCCATTTCTTCACCCTTCAGGCTACTTATATGGATTTAATTCTTCTAGCACCATTGTGCTAATATTAAGTGTTCTGTTTTTATAATGTTGCTGTTATGTAACGCTTTGATTATGCACTGAAGATACTTATTATCTGTGGTTTGACGAACATTATTACAAATTTCTATAACAAATTGAATGTGTTCCCAGTGACATTCTGCGCCGTATCATTGTGGAACAGGTAGCTAACATGATGGTGCTGCCCAATAAGTTACCCATTAGACTAAGTGATGAAGTTCCTGCAACAGTTCTAAAGGTGCCACAACCAGAGGTATGTGTTCAGTAATGGCAACTTGATTGTATATCTTTAACTTTCATATTCACCAAGAATCAGGATTAAATATGCTGATAATAAAATTCATTTTTTTGCTACTAATGTGCTGCATCAACAATAAAATGACCAGTTACTAATACAGTACAAAAACAAAAACAATAAATATATCAGGATAACAAATTGTAAAGAACATGGTTATAACAAAAGCTTATACACAGAAAGCTACTAGTAAGCAAAAGCTACTAGTAAGCAACAGAAACAAATTACTTTAAAATATAATTTAGTGAAACCAGTGTATCAGTATCTTTATCAATGGTATTTGCAGCGTATGCAAATCTAGCCTAGGGACATGTTTTAATTGAGGAACAAACAGTGAACAGAGTTAAATATTCAGAATTTGTAGTAGGTATACAACTGTCAACATTTAAATAATACAGATAAAGTTAATTTCCTTTATTAGAGTGTTTACCAAAATCCTGTGGCAGGCAAGCAATAATAAAAACCTACAACATTATTAAAAATATATGCACTAACAAAAGTATACTAAAATTAACAAATTAATTTGATAATTGTTTTTTTATAATTTTGTGATATAGCTGTATTTCTGTTTATTAGGGTGTGTTACGTGTACATGTTGTGGAAGCAAAGCAGCTGATGAAAATGGACATTGGTGTTCTGCGTAAGGGCAAATCTGATCCATATGCTATCATCTCAGTGGGAGCCCAGCAGTTCCGTACCAAGACAATTGACAATACTGTGAATCCAAAATGGGACTTCTGGTGTGAGGTAAGTCTTTACTTTGTGCCTGTCATTCATAGCAATCAGCAGAGGTAATTTAACCATTTGCATCTTTCAGTACTATGTAGGTGTCATAGAAGAGGAAACTGAAATTTCAGAACATTTGATCCGTATCAGTATTCGGGGAGTGGGGATAGTGAATCTTATCTGTAGACTTTCAAGTTTGTAATATTTGTATATCACTAGGAATTCACTGCTTAAGAATAAAATAATGATTGTCTTTTAAAATGATATGATAAATATATAATTTTATCTGCCTGTGAAAGGAAATAAGGTAACTTGCCTAACAAGTGTTTGGTTTCCAAGTTTATACAAATTATCTCCCATTTGTTACTGATATTTCAGATGCAAATCAAATATATATTAACAGATAAAGAATGTTGTTTCATGCAAGCAGCATTTATTTCAGAAAGTATTTTGACAGTGTTTCAGATTAAAAAGATTTTAATTATCTGTTGCTACTTATTGAAGAAAGTAGACCAGTTTTGAATTATGATGTAACGGTTATTATCAGTATATTTTCTTTCAGTTAATGTGAATACATTTTACTTAAAATCTGACATTTCATGCTGAAGTTACTCCCTAAATTTAGCTCTGTGAACCTTGTGCAGTAGTAGTATGTGTGTTATTTCCTCATATTTTACAGC